TACTTTCCTAAACGTCTCAATTGTTCCCTTGTCTTTCATCAAGTTTTATTTTCCCATCTCTAGACCTTTCCTATCCAAGACTTCTTCCTGTTCTCTCCTATTTGAAGTGGACAATTCATCAATACCTGGCCCATGGTCTCTATTTTTTGCGCAGCTGCATATTTCCTCTTCAACCCAGTTAAATCTTCACAAATTCGCCTTGAAATTTTCCTTGTCCTGTGTTCAATAATGGCCCATCTGCCAATCTTGTTCCATTCTCCTGATGCTTGGTATATATCTGAACGTTCCCCTTTCTTTCTTATCTGCTCCCAGTGCATTTGCCACTCATCTAATGTCTCCTCTCTTCTGGCACTCTTGCTTTCTAAGGTAGTCCTAACCTTGGCCTTGTCCTCCAAAATCATAATCCTTTCGTCAATGAGCAGCTTGAGTGGTATGGCTCCAGTCAAAACCCTAATCGTATCATGCGATACTGTGCTGTATGATTTCCCTACTTTCAACAAAACTCTTCTATGCATACTGAAAAGTTTCCTTTTCAATCTTATCTTCCTGGCAGCCTTACCCCAGGACTCGCATCTGTAAAGCATTGCTTTCTCAACACCCTTTGTACAGAGTCATCAAATGCTTCCCAGTAATGCCTCTATTGGCTCTGGCCTGTCTAGCTAATTTCTCTCCTTTATAAGACTCTTTTATCTTTTTTGCAAATTTCTTCCACATGTATTTCAAAAGTCATCCCTTTACCTACAGCCACTCCTATTAGCTTGACGACATATCAAGATTCCTGTTTAACACAACAATAGTGTTTTCCAGAATTGTTGGGACCCGCCCATCCCACCTTCCGATATAATCAAATATTCTTTTCGGAGATCAAAAATATGTTTAAAACTAAGCAATAGCTTTTGATCATTATTCTTGTGCACCTATCAAAAATAATCATACAGAAGAATGCAGGTGCCATCCCTCACAAAAGATAAAATTGGATGAAAAATTATTATTCCTTCGATATTCAATAATCTCTACTCATTAAATAATATCTTGTTATTTTTCAGTCAAACAAAGATCTTAAATATCACAACAAATACTGTAACTGCTGTACTGTCAGTTGACTTATTCATTGAACCTTCATAAACATGTGTTGCAGTGAAACACCAGTTTTTAAACAAAAAAAACATAGTACATTTTTATCTTTTCAACAAATCCTTACCTATATATAATTCTGTAAGACATTTTTACCAGAAAATTGTGTACGTCTGGTAAGTGGCAGAAAATTGGGAGAGGTCTTAAATTAAAGGTCTTAACCCCAGGGACTCGGGAAAAATAGCAGAATTCACAAAAAGTTACCAGAAAACGAGATATAACGTAAAATATCCACCATAAGAAAAGCATGGGGACTGAAAAACGTCTGCATTCTAATCAGCTTGTTACTTATTTATTTGCAATGTTTACATTTATTCCGAAAGTTAATGTTGTTAAATAATGTTTCAATATGAAATGTATTTGAAAATTTTTTCCCCGTTTGTATAATGAGTGAAGTAACTAGACAGGGTAGGGAAAGACCTGCAAGACGTGGAAGAGTATCCAGGAATTCAACTGACACAAGAAATGCTGAAAGGGAACGTCATGTAAGGTCTAACTATGAAAGAAATCCACAAGCTGGTTTACAACCTGCCTTCAGAAGAACGCTGGAAAATGAGTTGAGTGTTTTTTTTTCTCACAGTCTAGGTCCTCTTAACAGCACTTGCATGCGTTATGGCGCATTTCACTTCGCAGAGGAGGCCACAAATAGACATTTCAACGCATGTTGCCACAATGGACTCATTAACATGCCGTAACTACAAGTAAACGACAAACTAAAAGAACTGTTTTTACATGATTCTAACTTCATAAAAAACATAAGGCAATACAACAGTGCAATAGCTTTTCGCTACACAAAAAGAGATTCCGGGAAATGGGCCTTACTGTTTTCAAATTCAGGGACAAATTCATAGATATATTTCTGACTTACTACCGACTTTACTACGACTGGTATGCTAGTGGATTTATAATACGGTCCGTAAGCTTATGATTTTTAGCATTGTAATATTTGAAGAAATAAAAGAAGCATGCATCATAATATAGTAAAATTTTTACAAAAGCGAGTTTTTGTAAAGAATATTTTGATTAGCAAATAAGAATGATGTAGGCCTAAATAGAAATAAAATAGCCTAGTAAAATTTGTTACTTGATCATAATTGACCATAAATTTGCCTAATACAATTCCGTAACTTCAGTATTTTGAAATAAAAAATTAATGCGTTTTTAACAATTATTTGTCAAACAATTTAAAAAATAAGAATTTAACTTAAAAATGTTGCTACCATGTCCATACCAGTACCCTATTAGAAAGAATAACATTCTTAGAAACCATAAACAATTAATCTATAGTGTCAATAGATTAACAAAAACTTGATGCAAATGAACAAAAACAGTTTACAGAAACTTATTTCAACAGACTTGTTCAATGTGGAAAAATAAAAGATGCATCAAGAGTAGTAAACCAAAATATGGTAGGAGGAATCCTTAATCCTAATGATTATATCGGTGACACCAACACTACAGTTTATGATTTATTAAAAGAAAAACATCCAGACCAAATAATTCCAAACAAAGATTTAATAAAACTACCTGAAACCATGAGTGAAGTTCCCAAACTAGAAAACACAGAAATAACAGCAGAGCATGTTGAGAAAGTAGCAAGACAACTTCATGGAAGTGGTGGCCCAGGAGGAAGCTCCTCAGAAAATTGGACGGATTTCTTGTTAAGACATGGAAAGAAAAGTGCGCTTCTTAGATCTTCAATAGCCTCTTTAGCCATGAAATTAAATGGAGAAATAATACCTTGGCATAAAATAAGAGCCTTAATGGCAAATAGATTGATAGCCATCGACAAATGTCCCGGAGTGAGACCAATCGGAATTGGAGAATGCCTAAGACGGATCATAGCTAAATGCATGATAGTAGCATTTGGTGATGATGCAAAACATGCTTTAGGTACTAATCAACTATGTGGAGGCCTAAAATCAGGCATAGAGGGAGCAATACATTTTATGCAAACTGTTATGGATGAGAACTTTGACAATACAAATGAATGGTGCATGATATTAGTTGATGCTGATAACGCCTTCAATAAAATTAACAGAGTAAATGCATTGTGGCAAGCAAGATTACATTGGCCTAGAGCTGCCAGATTTATTTACAACACTTATCAATGCAACGCAGACTTGATAATCCCTGGAACTAGTAAAAAACTGTTCAGCAAAGAAGGTGTCACCCAAGGTGACCCTTTATCAATGATTTTGTATGGATTAGCAACTCTTCCACTAATTCAGGAATTAAAAAGAATGCCAGATGTTTTTCAGACCTGGTATGCAGATGATTCATCTTGTCAAGGATCCCTTAATAATGTGATACAATGGTGGCAAAAACTTAAAGAAATTGGTCCAAAATATGGATACTACCCTCAAGCAAAAAAAAACCAAACTAATTTGGAACCATGATTTTGAAATTCCCCAAAAAGTTATGAAACAAATGGAGGGAATTGAAGTTGTTCATGGCAGCAAGTTTTTAGGAGGCTTTATTGGCTGCGAGGAAGAAAAGAAAAAGTTTGCAACAGAAAAGATCAATGCTTGGACCCAGCGTGTTGAAAATATTGCTGGGATTGCTGAAAAACACCCTCAATCAGCCCATACTGTTGCTACAAAATCATTACAAGCAGAATGGACTTTTTTCCAGAGAGTAGTAAAAGTTGAACCAGAAATGTTCAGTCCAATCCAGCACACTATTAGAACATCACTTTTCCCCAATCTGTTTGGATTACAAGAAGGCCTATGTAAAGAAGAACATGAATTACTTCATCTAACAGTAAAAAGTGGAGGAATAGGGATGGCTGATCCAATAGTACAATCTAAACACATATATGAAACGTCAAAAAGAGGGTGTGAAGTTCTCTTACAATCTCTTGCATTAAAAACCTCTTTTGAGTTCAGTGAGCATGAAGATGCTTTAAAAAAAGCATTAAAGTTCCATAGAGAACAAAAGAAAACTGAAGAAAACAAATTATTAAATGAAAATTTAAAATATTTTTCACTACAAAGGCAAAATGTAATTCTATGAAATGCTGACCCTAAATCAAAACATGGCAGCTGGTTATCCTGTGTACCATTGAAGAAATTAAATTTAGACATGTCACCCCAAGAATTTAGGGATTCCCTGGCACTGAGATATGGTCGGACACCGATCCATTTACCAACCAAATGTGATGGCTGTGGGAAAGAATTTAATACAGACCATGCCCTTACATGTCCTGTAGGTGGCCTAATTATCAAACGACACAATGAAATTAGAGATGCTTTAGGAAACATTATGGAACAGGCATGGGGGAATTGTATCAAAGAACCCCTTATAGCAGAGAATAGAAATGCAAACGGGCCTGCAATTAAAGCTGACTTGGCATGTAGAGGGGTATGGGAGACACAGAGGGAAGCATTATTTGATATCCGTGTCGTAGACACCGATGCTCCCTCATATGCTTCCAAACCTCATGACAATGTCATACAAAATGCAGAAGAAGAAAAGAAAAGAAAGTATATGTCAGCCTGTGAAAGCCGGAATGCCTCTTTCACTCCTTTGATAACATCAGTCTGCGGAATCCTAGGCAAAGACTTTCAAACACTAATAAGAGCACTAGCTGAGAGATTGTCAGAAAAATGGGTTAAGCCTTACAGCCTGGTAGTTAATTGGATCAGAACGAGACTGACTTGCTCAATTTTAAGAGCAACAAGTATGTGCCTGAGAAGATCTCGAAAAAATGGAGATCTGCTCGAGAATTCGAAGATGGAGCAGGCATCCAACATATTTATTGAAAGAATCAAAATTTTTTGTAATATCTGTAAATTTAGATTTTTTTGTCTTGTAACTATCTATATTAAATTTCTGTGTAATAATCTATAGTGTCAATCATTTACCTTTTTTTTGGAGAGTTCTATTTTTAGGTTGACTACTGTTTATGGTCACAATTCGACGACCGCGTCCACTGGAACATTAAACTATAGATATAATCAAGCAAACATATCAAATAATAATACCTTAATCAATTTACCATAAAGTAAATGGGAACAGCTTTCTATGTGATAAGTGGACAGTATGGTGCTAGATTTTGATAGTTCAAATCCAATTGAGGTTGAAATGTACTTTACCGTACATTCAAGAATGCATTAAACCAAAAATATTCTGTTTTTCAATGTCACATGAACATTATGAGTGGTCATAGTGTGCTTGAAACCTATAGACTGAGTGAATTTCCATTTGCCTGATTATAATTTCACTAAAATTTGTTAGAATATTTACCTTATTGACAGGTTTGGAACTATTGTGATAGCTTTTCATGAACAGTGCAAACCAATAAACACATTCTTTTATTATACCTTAAAATCTATCATTGGTTTTGTATCGTAGGTAGCCTAAATAAGTATTCACAGGACGAGTGTCCAAAAACTTACTATTATCAAGTTAAGTTATAGCTTTTCGTTTACAGTGCAAACCAAAAAACACATTCTTTTATTATACCTTAAAATCTATCATTGGTTTTATATTGTAGGTAGCCTAAATAAGTATTCACAGGATGAGTGTCCAAAAACTTACTATTATCAAGTTAAGTTATAGCTTTTCGTTTACAGTGCAAACCAAAAAACACATTCTTTTATTATACCTTAAAATCTATCATTGGTTTTGTATTGTAGGTAGCCTAAATAAGTACCTATTCACAGGATGAGTGTCCAAAAACTTACTATTATCAAGTTAAGTTATAGCTTTTCGTTTACAGTGCAAACCAAAAAACACATTCTTTTATTATACCTTAAAATCTATCATTGGTTTTGTATCGTAGGTAGCCTAAATAAGTATTCACAGGATGAGTGTCCAAAAACTTACTATTATCAAGTTAAGTTATAGCTTTTCGTTTACAGTGCAAACCAAAAAACACATTCTTTTATTATACCTTAAAATCTATCATTGGTTTTGTATTGTAGGTAGGTAGCCTAAATAAGTATTCACAGGATGAGTTAACAAAAACTTACTATCAAGTTAAGTAATACAGTTAGATTTTGTTTCTAAATTAAATGGTAGGAGTGAAACCATTTGGCATTTTCAAAGAACCATTATTGTCCCTCTTGCATACTGACCCCGTTGCAAGGCACGGGTATAGCTGCTAGCAAATACGAATAGTAGTGCTGGTTGCAGTAGCGCCAGGCAAATAACAAGCGACCGGCGCTATTAATTGTGACCAACGGGATTGATTTATTTAGCAACTTATATTAATTAGAGTTAATCATTTAGGTACTAACATAAAGTCTTCTTTCTACATCAATTACAATTCCATAATACCTCCGCCGCAGCAAACCTGCAGCCTAATATCCATTTGTGTGACTTTATTTTCAATTAAATCTAATTCAATAACATTACGTTTAACGAGTACCTAGGTTTGCTGCTACAGGGAGGGTAACAAAGTGTGATTTTTTAGGAAAATATTATTAACTTAGTATAAAATAAATAATTTTTCCAAGTTTGATAAAAATATATCCATAAACAAGCAATATTACAACAGTTTACTTATCCTACTAATATTAAAAGTAACTAAGAAAGTTCGGATGTATGAATGTAGGCCTTATGGATGTATGGATGGATGGATAGGTGGATGGATGGATGGATGGATGGATGCAGTGGCGTAACAGAAGGGCCCGCAATGGGGGGGGGGGGGGGTCCGGGAGCTGAGGGGGCCCGCGAACCGGTGAGCGGGAAACGGTGAGCAGAGAGGCCCATGAGACGAGTGGGGCCGAAAAATTGGAGTTAATTCTTATTTAAATGTATTATCAATCATTCAATAATTGTATTGAACAAGTAATAACATTGATGTTATTAATAATATGTTGTTATCAGTTATTGTTTAATTTCTTTAGGCCTCTTCAGTGATAACGAACTAGGGTAACAAATTTTAACGTGTTATAACGTGGGTCTTTGATTGTTATGCAATCTTACTTTCGTCACCGAGAAATATTTTACTTCTCGGTGATTTAGTACACTGCTTATATCGTCTGCAAACATTTTGTTACTTTGGAGCCTGGAGTCATGCACGTTGGCTGGGGATTTTTAATATTTTATTATTTTACATTTTATTTTTGTCCTAATATACTGCTACTCTACTGACTGTGTTTGTTAGCCCATATCTTATTTTACCTCACAATTAACCAATACTAAAGACATTTGTTGTAAGATAAACGCTTACAACATAATAAAACGCTTGAAATCCATACAAAGATAAAATAAAAATGCAATAGGCTATTTTATCCTGTGATAAAAGTACGCCAATCTATTGAATTAACCAGCTTTTAGTGTGTATGACTTAATTATGAGCAAAGATTAAACTAACCTAATAAATTAATACTTTCTCATCCTTCAGTCATATTTGGGTTAAAATAAGCACTTATAGAGGCGTACCCATCTTAAATAATTGATTGATTGACTTTAATACTTTACTTTGAAATGGCGACCATACCAATGTAGGTATTTTAAGCCAAGAATTAATGGAGATGAGTGGCCCAACCTTTTAGTTTTGAAAGGGACCAAGGCCGACATATTCCTTAGACACAGATGTTAATTAATAGCCAATACAACAAAAGGCAACTAAGGGGCCTAAGGGGGTTAATAGGGGAATTCGAACCATATTTTTGCCTTGTAATTAACAAATTAGTCTATTTATCAGGGTAATAAATGTGTGATAAATTAAATGTAAAATTTTTAACTTCCTTGATATAAACATTTTGATAGACGGATGGAAAACGAGGTTTTTTTTAAATTTGATTTCAAAACTATTTACAAACACTAATATTGATATAATGATGTAGTGATGTAACACTTTCATCAAACCAACCTCTTATGGAACATAACCCATTCCCATAATTTAATATAACAATTTTTTCAAAATTTATCTCTCACTCTTTTTATGATTAATATGTTTGATCATTGTATCGGTGGTCCAAAAATAACTCTGTGGGGAGGGGGAGGGCGTTTGATTATGTTGTATGGGTGGTCTAAAAATAACTCATAAGAGGGGGGCCCAAAAAATGAGTTTGCAGGGGGGCCTGTAAAAATTTGTTACGCCACTGGATGGGTGGATGGATGGATGTTTGTGACAAGTAAACGCAATAAATACTAAACCGAAAAGGTTGAAAATTGGTATGATGATAGCTGACATTCCCGATGAACATATAGACATAATCAACCTTAAAAAATCCTTTCGGGCTCCGCCCCAGTGGCACTGGAGTTTCTCATGTTAACCTTATGAGTGTTCATATTTAAAGGAATTAAAGAATGTTGTCAGCCATTTCATCAGCACAAGTTGGTTCCGTGATAATAAATAGTATTAGAAAGTTATAAGGTTACCAACAGTGTGCAGCACTATTATGTTTTTTTTCATTTATGACAACAGCTAATTTGATCCAACTAACAACAAAAAGTTGTGGTACACAATGAGAACTTAACTTTTTTCTATGGTTTAGGTGCAGTGGTAGAACATAAGGTCTATGGTAGATGTGTGCTACCCTATATGATACCGTATAAATTAAAAGACCAAATTTTCTTAAACCGTGTCCTCTCCAATAACTGCAATAAGCATTTTATACTTGTATGCCAACCACGTACGAAGTACGGGGTACTCTGCTAGTCCTAAATAATGAAACACCTGATCTTAGTCAGTAACAAAGGTACTATGATCATCTCGGGAGACGGATAACGGACCAGATCTTTGTTTGGGTTAATCCCCTGATTTGTGGCCTGAGGGTAGTGGTCACCGGAGGAGGGGTGGGGAATCGAGAATTCTGAATCCCAGAACTTAACTTTTTGTCAAAGATTTCGCTTAGAATGTGATTATTTCTTAACTGTACATCTTTTGTTAGAATTTATAATTTTATGATCAGAACTATTTTTCTATTAGTAAACCTTTATTCGATTTTTCATTATATCAGCAAGTTTGGTTGGTTTGGTTAGGTTATGATATTTAAATTAAATTTAATTAGAATTTAACCTACAAACGATACGATTTAACAGCGACGGGAGCATCAGGGATACTGGTAACTATGTCTGAGACTCATGAAATAAAGAAGTTGTTAAATTCATCGGGACTTGCAGCGCAACGCATTCCTGGTGTGGGTGGCATGACTAAGTTTATGACGTCCCAGGTAGCTTTACATTGTTGGAATTTTCAATGAATTTGACATTACCTGCTCACTTTTCGCCTCCTCAACCCTTTTGTTATACAGCTTCTTAGCTAGCAGATACCTAGCCTCGTCTCCCCTAGCACGCAGCATCAGCATGAACTCCTTGAGTCTACTAAGAGTTGGAGTGTACCAATCAGATATGCGAGGTCCTACACCTTTCTTGTAGGACAGATACTAAAGTGCAGCCCTTTTATATTGGGTTTATATAGCCTACCTTTGTCCGTCTTAAGTCTTAAAATAATAACTTAGTTTGGGGATTAATAACTTAAGTTTAATTTCCAGGCTCAAAGACCCATTTTCAAATACAAAACATCAAGCTATGACTTAGACTAGTGCAGTGCATGCAGTCATTGCAATCCGACAGACGTTTTGATGTTTGAATGGTTTAAGTAGGCCTACAACTTGATGGTAGGATTGTAAAATAGATCTGTGACCTGTAACTAGTAATCCCCAAACTACTGTTTTAAAACTGATAATAGACAAAGGTGAGTTAGGCTACATACATACATACATACATACATGATACATGATCTCTCCGTCCGTAGTCCTTTGCCTTAAGGAATTGGACAGGTCAGGGTTAATACAAAGAATAACCAGCTTAATACTAGTTTTTGTCACCGTCTAGGTAACTGTCTATGTCCTCTAAACTTAACTCTACTATATATTTTTTTAATTCTGATTTGAATTTTGTTAAGCTCTGAATTTCAAGTAATTTTTTCGGTAGGGCCTGGTACAATTTCATTCCCATGTAATCTGGTTTGTGTTCAAATTTTGTGAGTTTATGTTGGACTGCATGTGTGCCCTTTGTTCGTGTGTTGTAAGTGTGATTTGTAAAAGTTGGTTTAATGTTCTGTGATTTTATATAGCAAACTGATTCATAGATATAAAGTGAAGGGACTGTGAGAAAGCCAAGTTCTTTATAAACATTTTTGCAGCTGGTCCGAGGCGGCATGCCCAAGATTGCTCTTACTGCCATATTCTGCCAAACAAAGATCTGGTCAATATTCTTCTTAACAGCTCCCCATAGAATGATTGAATACAAAATGTGCTGTTCTATTAGGCCAAAATACACAAGTTTAGAGAGAGCCAGGTTTCCGAAGGTTCTTATTCTTCGAAGTACAAAGACCCCTCGAGCCATAGACCCCTCCAGTTTTTTTATTTGTGCATCCCAGCTCAATTTATCGTCCAATCTCACCCCCAAAAAGTCGGCAGTTTTTGAAATTTGAATTTGATCCTCTCCAATTAATAGGTTCGGAGTCCTATTATTTTTTAAATTTTGTCTTTTTGCAGTTTGGATACACATGTATCCTGTTTTTTGTGAATTTAATTTGAGTTTGTTTGAGGAAAAAAAGTCAGCCAAATCATTTGCTCCTTTGATTAGATTCTGCCTCCAGGGCCGGGTCGTCAGTTCCCCTTACGAACAACGTTGTATCATCCGCAAAGAGGTAGACGCTGTCCTGCGGAACAGTATCTGTGATGTTGTTGATGTAGACCAAGAAAAGGAGAGGTCCAAGGACAGATCCCTGGGGGACGCCATTGGAGATCAGTTTTTTTGTTGATGAAATTCTTTCAGTTTTTGAATTTGAGTTTTTTTGAATCTCAGTGACTTGGAATCGGTTGCTCATATAGGATGTGAGCCACTTCAGCGCAAGTCCTGAGATTCCAATTGATGCCAATTTTTCCAATAGAATCGCAGGTTCGACACAATCGAAGGCTTTGGAGAGATCAGCAAAACAACCAACTACCGTCTCTCCAGCCTCCATTGCGTCTATACTGCTGTTGATGAAATCAATGAGTGCCAATTTTGTTGATTTGTTGCGTCTAAAACCATATTGTCTGTCTAAAAACCAGGTAGGTACGTACGCTAACTTAGGTACGTAAACGTAACCTCTTATAATAGCCTAGGTTAACTTATTTGTACAATTAGTTTTGGTGGCAAGAATGTTTAAAACGCCTTTTTATTTCAATTCACAGGCTTGGGCAGTAAAAAAAATTTAAGCAACAGTTTGATTATGTATTAGCCTATTTACAGGTGTGAAGTAGGCCTACTGTAGTCCTAATTAGTTGGAGAACAGAAAACCTGAGTTAAGGTACGGTATAATAACTTAAGTACTTGCATATTTTAGAGTAAAGCCAAATTAGGCTTTCTGCAAGTAAAAGAAGCAAATTGAGTATGGCAAAAAATCAGCAATCTAGCCATGAATGTAAAAAATTAGGCTATTTAATTTGAATCTCCTACTTTTGGATTTAGATAAGTTAAGTCAAGTCATTCAAAAGTTCGTACTAAGTTAATACAGATATGTTGTACAAAATGTAGGGTATGAACAACATATTCAGTTGAATTGGCTATTTCTGAATGAGTAGCCTACAGTAATAGCCTAATAAATTAACAAATATTTTTTGCTTACCAAATCGCTTAAAACTAATGCCAAAAGATAACATAGGGCTATATTTATTATATCAGTAAACTAATTCTTAGCTTTTACCTCATTATATTATATGTAGTGTGTCGGGTGAAATAATATGATACTAATTATGCAGACGGTAAGTTAATATTGCCAATGTTTACAATTAAATATTTAGAAACAAAAACAAAAGTGTACTCTACTACTCTACAACACTTCTACGTTTAAAAAAGCAGGCTGGTCCCTGGTAAACAAACAGTAATAAATAAATAGCAAGAATGGTATTGCAGGTTAACCAACATAGAAAGAAAAATAATGATTCTTCACTGGAGCTAATAAACTATTATAGAATTATAGCTTATAGTTAGAATTATAGCTCAGTGGTCATACCATGTATTAAACATAGTAATTTAACTCAATAACACATTTATTTGGATGGTCTTCAAAAGTTCCAAAATCGGAAGATCCAAAGAATATATTGCCGATCGGAAGTTCCAAAATCGAAAGATCCAACGTTTATATTGCCGATCGGATCTTCCAAAATCGGAATTTCCAAAGGTTATTTAGCGGGTCGGAAGATCCAAAATCAAAAGATCCAAAGAAAATATTGCCGATCGGAAGTTCCAAAATCGTAAGATCCAAAAGTACAGTCATAACTAGAAGTACAAATTTATTTCTTAAAGTAAACTTATGAAATAGACTGTCCTTTTCACTTTGGAAGTTGTGATCATATGCCGGGTCGGAATTTCCAAAACGCTACTAGTCAGATCGGAACATCCAAAATGCTAGAACTGTTGCGTCTCTCAGATTGAAGGCGATGAACGCCGTAACCAGCCGCGTTGCTAATGTCAGGGGAAAAGTTTAGACACTCGAGTTTAGATCTGTATAGAAAAGTAACCAAACTACTTATTTGGTGTGTGTATTTTTTGTCCAAAAACCATTTCAACATCATATTTAAGACGTATATTCAGACAATGTTTAAAAACAACATTTTAATTCGCTCTATGTTAGATAAATATTGTCACATAAATTAGCCATTAAGTATAACGGAGTTTTTAATTAATATTAGTTTTGTTCTAATTTATATCACGTAAAGGCAATTACTAAAATACTGTTTGTATTTTATCAATGGAGTATCAAAATGCCCTTTGAAGCACTCTTTGTATAGTTTTACAATTCTCTTAGCGTATGTATTGGCCTTCAATATATGCTATGATAATTTTTTTTACATCTCCTTTTTTAAATTTAACCATCATGACAACAATATTATCAAACATAGATGGAATGAAATACTCCTAATAGAAGAGTTAATCTTCTGAGAATACTCTCAGTAGGCTAACATTTTATTTTTTGCTATTAGAACATAGAATTGAGTATTATGGAACAAATAGGTAGTTTACTTTGTGGTTTATACTGTATTTATCTGAAGTAACCTATCTTTTTATAAAGTAAAATATGTATCTAGATAACAGCCCAATTTGTTTAGGAAATCTTAATTTTCCTCATACAGTTTCTAACTCCCGTATTTGTCAAATACTGCTTGCCTCACTGTGGTATATATAGATTGCCTTCTAACAAGGCACCATAATTGCAGACGGCGTATATCGGTTGATGCCATGTTGATGTATGTAACTAAATCATAATCCCTGAATTTAAAATCTTAGATCGAAAGACTTAATGCTAGACTTTAAAGACTTTATGATTGAAAGATACCAATTCAATAATACAAGTCTTGAATTAACTCAATAATTCACTAACTCTTGACTCTAACTCTTGTTTGTGTCTGATACTAAATACATTAAAAGTAGTATGCAAATTATTTGATTTGCATTTTATATTTATATGAAATTTTTTATATACTCAACAAATTTTTACCCTTCGTTCATTTGGGGTCTGAGGCATATCCCTAATCATTTCATGGCTTTTGTTTGATCAATGTCAATGTAAGGGTTATTAATTACTTAGCAAGTACCTTCGGCTTCACCTGCGATGGTATAACCATAAATATCATATAGCATAAGAAATGCTTTATGATATATACTTATTTTTACGTAATTAAGTAAATTTGTTTGTTTAATCTTTTTGGATTTAGTTACTTCTTTAATTATGTTACGGTTAATAATAATAATTATCCGTAATGGTTGTGCCAATGATGATGAGTAAGATATCATTATTGTGTACTGCCTCCCGTAAAATTAAAATACTCCCGCGTCAGTGAACCTGCAGAGAAACCAATTTTCCATTTACCTTGCTGTAATTCTACTAAATTCTTCCCTAGTAAAATTGTAAGAAATATTTCCTATATGAATATTATTAATTTCAATGAGTAGGCCTACCTAGGTTTGCTGTTACAGGGGGGAGATAATTTGGTGTGTATGTTATTGATAGCTTGGTATGAAGTAAACCAATTTGCCCAATCAGTTTCTCTAAGGTGTAGTTATTTCATAGGCTGTATCGTATATTTCAAATTAGTAAATCCTGTGTTGAATTATAATACAGATGTAGAAGAAACTTATGATATAAAGAAGAAGTGCTCAAATGTAATCATAGGTTGATATAGATAGACCTTAATTGTCTTTGTTTGTAAAATACAATGCCGCAAATCCAAACTCTAACGGACAATCGAGTCGGGCGGAGCACGAAATGAGTTTTGAGATAAGAATATGCCTATATTTTAATCGGGAATGTGAGCTATCAGCATGCCAAATTTCAACCTAATCCGACCAGTGAGTGATTGAACCCCAATAAGAAAAACAAACACACAAACTTTCACAATTTATCTTGTTGTTAGTATGGTAACACTTCCTTAATGTATTTTTGTCTATGTTTTGATAACTAGCTGTTGTACCCGTGCTTTTCAACGGCAATAGGACGGGAAATAAATACCTTTTGATCTATAAATGCATTTTATTAAATGTTAACACATCAGCCAATGTTTTGGCCTATTGATTCGTCGGAAAAGAACATACCATATTGCTGATGGATGTCAGGTGCTCAATAATTACTCTTTGTTGAACAGACATTGGTCTTATAAATATCACGGATTTTAAGTTTTTAGTACCGGGGGACTGAGCCTTGCTAGGTTGTGGTTTAAAGTACGTATAATCGTTAAAACCATTTGATAAAAAAATATTTTAAATATGATTTTCGAGAAATGATTTCATTACAATCCAAGACATTTGATTGATAAAAAAATAACGACTCTGTAATACAAGCAATGTAGGCCTATAAGGTATGTAATAAGTAATCAGAATAATCATGTGTTGATGTGTTATTTTACTTAATTTTTACATTTATTTATTTATGACAAAAATACTGTTATTTATGTAGGTAGGTGCGTGATTAATTTCTTGGCACTTAACGAAATGTTTCTTTATGTTCAAGTAAGGCCCCTATTAGCCTTGAGCAACATGTGGCGCAGCTAGTGGAGCCGCCGGTGTCGGACGTGTAGAGGGCATGGAGTCAAAGGGTGCCTATTAGCCGCGGGGAGACCGGTGGCGCCGCCGAAAAAGCTGCCCGAGGTGTTGCCGGGAGTGAAACTAACACTTGAATACTATAAACAAAATTGAACAAAACACGACATCGACAGTGTACCGGACAGAACTAGACACGAAAACACAGCTTCAAAATTTACAATGTGATGGGAAGTATACTTGGTGTTGGTTAGTCAATGCCACAACCGAGCAAGGCTCGGTCCCCCAGTACTATTGTATGAAGAGGCCTTCACACTGATTCTTGTTTTCGAGTCGAAGAGATAGGCAGGCAGACAGTGGTCGCCTTTGTTTTCAACTAGATATAGAAAATAGTGTGGCATACTGTTTGAAATCTTATAAATTAACAGTTTTTATCACATTTGGCGACCTTCTAATATACAGAGTGTTCAGTGGACCAACGTGTTTTAAATGTTTATCATACACCTTAATTTGTATTGTTGTACCGGTACCTATTAACAATGGAGTGTTTACTATTGATCATGATTGTCTATAATTCTTAATCAAAAGGTTAAAATATAACATGAAAATTACATTAATTAGCCTACTCATATTTTCTGGACGTCCACAATTTCCTGGTAACAATTTTGTCTTACAGAATTATATATAAGGATCTTATTTTCTTATTTTAAATTGATGTTCTTCTGTATAATGTCATGTTTAGCAATATAACGTTCCATTACGAACAGTTATATAATCTTAATATTACAGTAACTCTTTCAATCATTTCTTATTGCATTATGTTATATCTATTGTACTGGTTGGTGTCTGCCTTTTTGACTACTTTTGCCGATATTTTGTCTTATTATTGAAGACCGACAGATCATCACGAGATTATTGTTATACATGTGTATTTAATCATTGGACAATTTCCCATTATGTAATACGATACAGAATAATAAAAGTGCAGAAGGCTTTTACAGTCTATGAAAATGAATGTTAAATAGGCTACTTTTATTTATCATAGACATATCATTAAGGTACATCAATTATAGGTCTACTCTTTGTGATATGCATAATTGTCTGAGACAAACATTCAGGCACGTTGCCCATATTAACTAAAGAAGTGTTGCGCATGTATACTGGCGCTACTCAGGAACAAAAATCATTGATCTCTCAAAGTTACTTACTAGTCCAGGCAAACTAAACAAACTTACATAGGGACCGTTAAAAAAATTGCAAGAAAACGTTTTATGGTTTTATTTTGTAGAGTTGGGTTTGCAGAATGACATACTAAAAGTTGCCAAAAATCGGTGCACGAGAAAACCACTAAAATCACAATTTAAAATGGCGGCTTTTTTCAACATTGGACAAATTAAAAAAAACATATTTCACATGTATTTGTTATGCACATTTTTCGAGATATTGACTTGGGACCACCGCCTGTATTTATTGAGTGGTTAGTACTTCATTTTGATAGGGAACATGTTTTTGGCCGCCATCTTGGATCCGCCATATTGGACATAGATAATTTTTTTTCAATGTAATGATAGTGTTGTGACACATCATTACCAACTACATTTTTACACTGATTTCAATGCCGAAATCCGTTTTTAAATATCTTTATTCATTTAGAAGATATATACAAAAGAAAACTCTGCACCATACATTTCTTATGGACGTTTCGTAGTTTGATATTTTTTTTTAAATTATTTTTCTTATATCTCCAGTTCTTATTAACGCTTGTAGTTCGTTCTAGGCTTAAAAT